TAAGCTCATTTTAAAGAGTGACTTCTGTTAGGACTTACATTTCACAGAGATCATGAATCACTTTGTCTAGCTGCCGTGGGATCCAACTAATGGCTTAAAGCCAGACTAAATTAGTCAGGGTTTAGTCCCATCAAAATCATTGAGACTAAAGCATGAATAACTGGATCCAACTGAGTGTGTTTAGTTCAGAGCTTTCCAAACTCTGTGTAGTGACACGTTAGCTCCAGTGTGTAGGTGTGTCGCACAAACACACCTGGAAAGGGGTTAGTTTAACCTCAAGTTTGCTAGTAAAACTGAATTACTGTGTTGTGAAATGATGCATGTATAAAAAGTGAGTCAGCAGCATGAAAAGTTTGGAAAGCTATGGTTTAGTTGGTGGGGTAATAAGATAACACTTTCAAAGAATGTGTTTGGTAGGTGAAACCAAGTCTCTGTGGTCTTGGTAAGTGCTTAATGTGGCATTTGCACTGAACCCAGTAATTTGGTATTAATGTTTAAAGACTGATTATGAGTAACCACAGATGAATAAGGCCAGGTAACGTACTTAGATATTCATACTAGATCTGTTCATTTAAGACACTTTAACTATGTGCACTTCACTGAAAAGACTCTTAAAATTTGTTAAGAACAGGAGGATACTTAATCCAAACTCAACAAATAAAAGAATAAGGATACATAAATTGAGCCATTTAAAAATAGATATTTAAACCTATAAGAGAAGCAGAATGGTTAAAGAACACAAACTTTTCAGGTATCATGTACTTTGATCCTTCTTGTTTTATGTCTTTAACATGCTGTATGTTGGTGGTTTCTGTCAGATTTGTTTTAAGTATGGACTTTTTTTACCTTAGTACAAAGAAGCAGATAATAATATTCAGGTGCTTTCCTATTCTGTGCTGCCTTGATAAATTTGAATGAGTTAAAATGTTTTGACTGCTGCCAGTTCATTTTGTTTGCATTTTTCTTCCACACTGATGACTTCCAAACAACCTGTGGCGCACTTGGAAATGTTCAAGAAAGTGAACATTTATGTGTATACTTCATAGAGAAACAAAGCAGCCCTTCCATTGAAAGCTGTTACCTAGCACTTGGATCTGCATAGTGACTTTGTCAATATAAGACGTGTAACTGTGCAAGCTGTGTTAAAGGAGTGAGGGAGGGTGTGGTGCATGACTTTTGTCCTGTCCCGAGCCTCTCCGTGGATGACTAAACTCCTTTCTAAGTGACAGAGTTTCCTCAGTATCAATATGCCTTTTTAAAAATCCACCTTTCTCTTCTGTCTGCTTCCCTTTCTGTTGATTGGAGATAGGGTTGTCAAATGCGAGAGAGGACAGGACTCCTGCATCTTTAATAATCGTTGTGTAGCAGAGAGAATTCTTGCTGAAATTCTCTCTGCAGCAGTTCTTGCAGGGGAGAGGGCTCAGCCGAGGAGGGAAGCAGGTAAGGGGAGGGAGGACAGGAAGGGGAAGTACCATTTGTGTAGGTGGAAGTCCATTGCCACAAGTGGGATGCCACCTTTGGATGTCACTCTTAATACACCTTTTTATAGCTCCAGGTGGTATACCAGATGCTACTTTTCATGGAGAAAACAGCTCTGGCCACTGCCACATATGCTTTAGTTAGATTTGGTTATGCACATGCAAGGGGCTGCCTTTCAGGAATGTTTGGAAACTACAGTACACTGCAGTTGTGCATAATGCTGTAGCCAGGAAGTTATCAGGACTTTGTTATTTGGAGCATATTTTGCCATTACTATTAGTTCTGTATTGGACTTTGGTATATTTTCAAGCTTATAACCTTTAAAAAGTCCTATAGAGCTTGGGCCCAGAGTATTTAATAACAATCTGCTTCTGGCTGATTCTGCCTGCCTAGTGGGCTCATTGCAAGCTGTCCCATAAAATTTCCTCTGCTGTTTCACACACACACACACACACACACACACTCTTTTTTCCTAAAAAAATTTTAGGGGTACTCTCATTTTGATTCAAGAAAATCACCATTTCATAGTTCAAATCGGGAAAAATAAATACAGTAAATGGACAAAGGTACAAAGATTCACAAAGTGTTTAGGGGTATGCGTACCCCTGCACCCCCCCCCCAGAAAAAAGTAGCATGGATGGCAATTTCACCACTTAATCTTCCCATCACCCAAAAGAAATTAGAAGGAGGGGTTCCTTAACTAAGCCTGAAGGCAAAGGGTTAAGCAGCCACTCCTCCATGCTCCAAACATGCCGCTTTCTATTTAAAAACAAAAACAAAAAAGATTGGGAATAGTTACATAAAACTGTATTTGATGTATAGGTTGGTTTCAATCAATATTTACTTCTTTTGAATCTATTTATATTGCCTATCAGTTTTATATTCCCAGGGCACTTTATAGTATAAAACTATATAAAACATAAATCTAAAATTAAAATTTGGAGTGGAGTGTCATCAATATGTAGATGGCTCCCAGCTCTGTCTCTCTGTTCCATGTGAATCTGGAGAGGCATTTGAAGTGCTAGAGGCAGTGAGGCGCTGGATTTGGCCCAATAAATTGAGGCTGGAACCTGGAAAGGCCATAGGGCACCTGCAGGTGGTGCTGTACTGAATACAGTATCTTAATATATGAATAGGTTCATATGGTAGTTGTTGAGCTTTTTTTTACAAAAATGCCAAAAAAACAACTCCGTGATTTTTTGACGTCAATTCCGCCTTTGAAATCCTGGTAATGTCCAGGAAAATCCGGACGTATGGCAGCCTCTCATATGGAGACAGGTGGTACTTCAAGGAATTTGAATTGGGCTAGCAATTTCAAATACACACCAATGGCTTATTTATTCAATCTCTCCCTACTTATATACACTTAGGAGCAACATCTGCACCAGCCATGCCATAGGGACATAGAAAGCTGCCTTATATTGGGTCAGATCAATGCTCCATCTAGCTTAGTATTGTCAACAACGGCCGGCAGCAGCTTTCCAGGGTTTCAGGTAAGGGACATTTCCACATCTATCTGGAAATGCCCGAGTTGAACCTGGGAACTTTTGCATGCAAAGCAGATGCTCTACAACTGAGCTATGGTCCTTTCCTGTCACCATGACAGAAGAGACAATATGGTGTAATGCAGCTTCCAAAAATAGCAGCACACCCCAGCCCGTATGTACAGGTGCCCACAGGTAGACTATAGCTCAGAAGATAGGTCATGCGACTCAAGGCTGTCTCTGTCTGGTTCCATGTTGTGACCACTTAAAGCTCACAAGGGGGAGCTCTGAGACTCCACTTCCCAACTCTGGTTGGGCAGGGGACATTAAAATACTGCAAATGATTTTTAGTTGAATGTATTTAGGTTTTTAGTACTGCTTTATCTATAGTAGATATACTACGGTGGCCTGATTTAAACTAATTTGGGACTTTTCTGAAGTTCAAAACAGAAAAGTGACATTCAAAGCTTTTACTCGGAAGAAAATTCTTGTCTAAATCAAATGGGGTTGATTACATTTCAGTGTAAATGTGTTTCAGGAAGAAATATAATGAGTATGTTTCTGAAATCATCTGTTGAATCAGACATGTGATGTTACATAGGGTAAGAACTAGCAAGAAACTTTAATCAACAGCAATTCATGACAGTTTCCTCGACAATGGTTTTATCTCTGCTACTGCAGAATATGTAATCTAATATTGTTTTGCATTTCATATGCATGTCCCCAAGATGTCATAATCTGACCACGGTTGGTAGCTGACTTGTGTCATTTTTCTATCATAATTGTAGAAGAACAAATGTAGTTTAATATCTGAGAGAGGGAACACAATTCTTTGGATGGTTAAGATTTACAAGAGAAAATCTGTAAGTGGTCTGTCTTGTAAGAAAACTAGGCTTTATGTCTTGTGTCATTCTGATTTTCTTGCTTGACTGAATTTTGCTATTATTTATCACATGTATAGCGCTTGGTCTCCAATGCATGACATAACTATCATCATTCTCATTTCAAAGAGATATCTCTGTGTGTATGTGTGAAAGAGAGAGAGAGAAATGTTGATGAGCTCATTGGTTAGGATTTTAAACTACACTATCTATGCCAAGTCCTGTTCTTCATATACTAAAAACATTTGGCTTACACAGATTTCTATTATTGAAAGGAAAATAATGGGAGCAGCAATTATTGCTGTCAGTCTTTTGTACTCTGCAAAATACTAACATCTACAGTCAGAAAATTGCATAACTGAGTGCAGAATTACAACACGAGGTGTGTTGCAAAGTGTCTGTATGTTGACACATTCTCAAATTTATCAATGGATGTGCATCTTTGTTCCTCTACAAATCATCTACAGGATGACTTCATCGCTCAGAAAATCTTTGTAAGTAAAATATTACTGATTGAATATCTGGGGTTTTCAGTATTTAATCACTGCAATACTTCTTTTCAGGAATTATTATCGGAATTATAACTATGATTCAGTTTTCATCATGTAGCAATGAGTGACAGAAAAACTGTTGTCCTTTGCATCCTGAAACAACATATTGGCTCCCCCATCCCCTAAATATTGGTTCCATGCAACAAATACATACCCTCAGACAGGAAAAATGAATTTATTGTATTTAAGTTATAAAAGCCGGGGGAGGCAAAGTTTCTAAATCCAGCTAAGTCATTGTTGTTGTTGTTTAGTCGTGTCCGACTCTTCATGACCCCATGGACCAGAGCACGCCAGGCACTCCTGTCTTCCACTACCTCCCGCAGTTTGGTCAAACTCATGCTGGTAGCTTCGAGAACACTGTCCAATCACCTCGTCCTCTGTCGTCCCCTTCTCCTTGTGCCCTCCATCTTACCCAGCATCAGGGTCTTTTCCAGGGATTCTTCTCTTCTCATGAGGTGGCCGAAGTATTGGAGCCTCAGCTTCACAATCTGTCCTTCCAGTGAGCACTCAGGGCTGATTTCCTTAAGAATGGATTGGTTTGATCTTCTTGCAGTCCATGGGACTCTCAAGAGTCTCCTCCAGCACCATAATTCAAAAGCATCCATTCTTCAGCGATCAGCCTTCTTTATGGTCCAGCTAAGTCATAGATGCTATATTTATGGGAAGTATGGATATGATAAAACTATTCCCAACACAGTTTACAAGAACCAAGTCTAAACAGGTGGCAGAGAGCAAGAAACGTAAATTTCATTGACATTCTAGTAGTGTATAGTCAGTTTTAAGACATTTTTAAACCTAAAATATTATGTTAATGATGCAAACTCTGCTTTTTGTCAAAACAATGCATTTCTCAAAGAGTCAAGACTGCTTGAGGGGAAGTAGGAGCCAGTGTGGTGTAGTGGTTAAGAGCAGTAGTCTTGTAATCTGGGGAACCGGGTTCGCGTCTCCGCTCCTCCACATGCAGCTGCTGGGTGACCTTGGGCCAGTCACACTTCTTTGAAGTCTCTCACCTCACAGAGTGTTTGTTGTGGGGGAGGAAGGGAAAGGAGAATGTTAGCCGCTTTGAGACTCCTGAAAGGGAGTGAAAGGCGGGATATCAAATCCAAACTCTTCTTCAAAGTAGCTATGAGGTCAATAACATTAAATTAGCAGGAATCTTGCGATTCCTTTCAAGGGCTGGGCAGATGTTCCTGTTTCTAGACTATTGAGATGTCTGCTTAGGTACTGTGAAAAACTGAGAAAGAAATGTCCTTGCATAAAAGAGTAAAAACGTAATTGGCCTGTTAATTAATTAGTCTGTTGGTTATTCCATTCAGTTGATCCCAGTGATAAAACAGCAAACATTTTTAGAAAATGGAAGAAGTCCTTAATACTTCTATTGCCAATTTCAGTTGATGCTGGAGCATTTTAAAAGGGAATTGACATAAATGCAGCAGTGTTGGGTATTGTAGACACTAAAGATATGTAATTCATTAGTTAATAGCCTTTTAAATATGTTTTGAACTTGATGCTTTTGGTAAGTTGTTCCTGAATTATTACAGTGTAACAGTAAATTGCTAACGCTGTCTCTCTCTATAATTCAGCAATTCATCAGTGCAATATGAACAAGGCTTCTATAGAAATCCAATAGACACAAGTGGATTTTTTTTAAAAAAAGCATATGATCTTGGTTACAGAAATGCAGAATTGCAGCAGTTTCATCTGACTTGAAAAGCTCATTTAGACCTATGCAGGCAAAGTCGAGAGCTCCCTCGGCAGTAATTGTAAAATGGGACATGGACTTTGCGTTTATGAGAATCAGTAGCTTTTGATGGCCTCAGTTCATTTAAACTCCAAATGTATGTAGCATGAAATAGATTATCTGCTGTTTTCCATTTAAGTGTTCATTGAATGTTTGGGCCACAAAATAAACTGCGATTGGAAACTAAACCTTTATTAAATGCAATGAACACACATTCATAATTTCTGTGTTAGGAGATTTAGAGAGACACCTCCAATACACCTTTGGGCTTTAGCAGTTTAAGCGCTTTAAGTAATGTACAGCATGCAGATATTTCCTCTATGGCTATTCCTTTTTTAAATGGGCTATTACACAAGACTACTTAATGCATCATTACCCATTCTATTACCCTGTTATATAGGTTACATAGCTACAGAACTGTGATTTTCTAATTTCAAAGGAGGATTTGCATAATGTGGAGCAAGCCAGGGAAAATCACTTGCAGAAAAATGGGCTATGCACACATTATCTAAAGGCCATGATTTTATCCAGTTTTTGACTAATGGTTTTAACATGCTAAACGGCTGGTTTTAGGACTGATCCCAAGGTTGCAAATTAGGTAAAATAAATGTGTAGTGGTACATAGGAGACACCAATTCCCTTCACAGAGCTACAATTCACAGAGTGGTTTAACAGTCGAATCCCTCTTCACAGGGAATGGTAGCTCTGTGAGAAGTGTAGGAGTCTCCTAACAACTCTCATCACCCTTAGCAAACTACAGCTACAGTGGGGGAAGCCACAACTGTTTATAGTAGTACAGTTGTACCTTGGGTTAAGAACTTAATTTGTTCTGGAGGTCCGTTCTTAACCTGAAACTGTTCTTAACCTGAGGTACCACTTTAGCTAATGGGGCCTCCTGCTGCTGCTGTGCCACCACAGCGCAATTTCTGTTCTCATCCTGAAGCAAAGTTCTTAGCCCGAGGTACTATTTCTGGGTTAGCGGAGTCTGTAACCTGAAGCACCTGTAACCCGAGGTACCACTGTATCATTGAGCTTTTAAATGTATGATGTGAATGCGGCCTAAGTCAAAGCACATGCAACAGAAAGAATCATATACTGCTGCCCTGTTTACCCCAGTCTTTACTTTCCTGCCATGGGCAAGTTTTAAATTGCAATCTCTTCTAGGCAGAGACACGTCCTCACTATGTGCACACCATAAATAATATAAATTATGTATTTTGTGTATTTTAATGTTGTGAAACACCCTCAGATCTAATATGTATAGGGCGGTATACAAATCTAAACAACAACAACAAACGTATGAACCCAAACTTGAAGAACTTCTTTTATTCTCTGCTTAGCTTTTACTTTCTATACATAGGTGAGAAAAGTAAATCCTGATGCATAAATATAATGCAAGCCAGTTGCTTTCAGCTTATGATTACTTTCGGTTATTAGGGCAAATGGCAAATGGTTTCAAGTACCTGAGTAAGTTTATGTAGTGTACCACAACAGTTGGTGTGGTTTTGTGACCGTTGTATTAGACTGAGAGATGCATTTGCCTTAGCAGTTGGAATACCTCATTTAATGAGATCGTGAAAAGATGACAGTTACTTGGAGTGTTCATTGATAGTGTTCTTGTGAAATACAGCATGTCCTGTGTCACACAGCCATGCCGCTCATTCCTTGGCTGATACAGAACTGGCACTGATAGTTGCTGCAGCTTATTGCTATTTACATGGCAGGCCAAATAGCATTTGGTTGAAAGTTACTTTCCTTGTGATCATAGCGTACTGGAAAATGAGAAAAGCATGGACAGTCAAACCTTTGTGATTTCCTGCATAGTGGCTATTATCTGTCATACAAGGTCAAACAGATAAGGTCTGAAATGCTTTTTCTGTCAACAACAGAGAGCTCATACAATAATAGGAACCCTTAGTTGTGATGCAGTGGTTCATAGCCAGAGCTGTTCCTGCTCACTAAACCCTGTTACCTCGTCAGCTTCCAACACCACCTCTCCCCAATCTGCTCCCTCTTCTCCCTCTGACCACTCATTGTTGTCCCACCACCAATCCCCTGGCTCTGAGCCTTCTTCCCCTGGGGGTTCCCCAGCTTGTGCCTCGCACCACTCCTCTGCATCCAGCCAGTCCATGACACCAGACAGGGCGCTGGTCCACCAGCTGAAGCTGATGGAAGACACTCCATGCCACCAAGGCCACCTGAGCCTCAAGTGACAGCAGTGGATCTAGAAGTACCTTCTAGCTGCATACTCGCTTCTTCAGAGGGATTTGTAACTCCATCAAGTCCCACCCATCTGGTCTAAGGAACCACCCACTAACAGTGCCTCAGTCTTATCTGGATTGAACTTTGGTTTATTGGCTCTCATCCAGTCTATTGCCAAGGCAAGACAACGGTCCAGTACATCCACTGCCACACTTGCAGATGTAAAGGAAAAGTAGAGCTGCGTGTTACCAGCATACTGCTGCTAACCTTCTCCGAAACTCCCAGTGACCCCACTCAGTGGTTTCATGTAGATGTTAAACAGCGGGGGATAAAATAGAACCCTGAGGAACCCCACATTAAAGCTTCTATGGAACTGAAGAGCACACTCCAAGCATCACTCTCTGGAAACAACCAACCAAGTAGGACTGGAACTACCTCAAAGCAGTGTCACCCACCCCTAAAGCAAAGAGATGGTCCAGAGGATACCATGGTTGATAGTATGAAAGGCCACTGAGAGGTCAAGGAGAATGAACAAGAACACGTCCGTCCCCGTCCCCCCACATAAGTCATCATACAGGGTGACCAAAGCAGTTTCTGTGCTAAAACCCAGCTTAAACCCTGATTGAAATGAATCTAGAAAACCGTTTTTCTTCAAGAGCACCTGGGTCTAGTCTGCAGCCACCCGCTCAAGAACCTTGCCCAAGAAAGGGATATTGGTAACTGGCTGGTATAATTACTTAGATTTTCTTAATCCGGGGAGGGGTTGTTGAGGAGGGGTTTTACCATTGCCTGCTTGAAGCAGGCAGGGACCACTCTCTCTCACAAGGAGGCATTAATCATCTCCCTGGCCCAGCCAGCTGCCCCCTTCCTGCTAGTTTTTATCAACCAAGGGGGCAAGTGGCTGCCCTGACCAATTCAAGCACCTTGTCTGCACCCTCAAGCCTTACTAACTGAAACTTACCCAACATAACAGGACTAGACAGCTAGTTTTGTGCAAAGTGCATACATTTGGCAGCTTCTGATCAAATTCATATGCCATCCTTCACTGGTAGCACACTAAGGCTTGCTTCTTCCAAAAAATAACAACAGATAAGGTAGTGAACCTCTGTCTGAACTGTACTACCTCAAACTGCAGATGGGAGTACATGATTAAATGATGCTTCATACAAAAAATTCCCTGTGGATTTAATGTAAAATGGGGAAGGAGAATTCAGTCATGTGAGTTCATGCCTGCAGTCTGGACCTAGGTTTACTGCCTCAACAGCTGCTTGTGGAACTAGGTCTAAAGTTTCTATGAACCAGGTTGCCCTCATTACAGAGGGTAATTCTGCTACCTATCCACAAGCATATGCACTGAAATGGTAATAATTTTCTGAAAGGAGAAGACAATTGATATTATATACGTAGTTATACATACAGATGGAAAACTGCCCTGTGAGCTATCTTTCTTCTTTATGCTATCAATGTTTCCACACAGCTTACTTGATATTTTGATTCTGCACAATTAACTGCTGAGTGTGGTATTTCCTACGCACAGAATGGTTAGTAAACCATGCAAGCAATTATGGGAATATTTCAAAATCTGAATTAAACCCCTTGAGCATCTGCAGGTGCAATATATATATGCATGTCTCATGGGTGCTGTTACTTGAAGCTTGAAAACAAAGTTGTATAGTGCACCATGTTTGCTTCTGCTTACAATTTGAACACGCTGCAGCCTTGATCATACCAGCTAGTTTGTAAAGGGTACTTAATGTGGATAACACTGTTGCATTTACAGAAGGGTTGAACCAAATGTCCTTCAGATTATTATTAGACAATTCTGTGCAGGTGTCCAGCATGCATGCATCACAATAACTGTTATGAGTAGATAGAATTCAGATTGTGTTTGTGAATTTGAACTCCTGATCCCCACATTTCTGGTCATCATACAAACATAAGAAGAGCTTTAGAAGGTCAGAACAAATGCCCATCTATTTCTCAGAGTAGCCAGCCAGATACCTGTGGGAGGCCTGCAAGCAGGACATGAGCACAACAGGGCTCTCCTGCTCCTGTTGCCCAGCAACTGGCATTCAGATTTCAGCACTGTACCACCTCTGATACTAGACGTAGTATCTTGGCATCATGACTACATAGACATTGATCCGTCTAATCCCCTATTCATAGAATCATAGAGTTGGAAGGTACCCTGAGGGTCATCTATTCCAACTCCCTGCAATGCAGGAATCTCAACACGCGGTCCCCCATCCAATTTGAAACCATACCAGACCCTGCTTAGCTTTGCACATGTGCTAGCAGTTTTACTGCTGCACCACTTACAGCTACTGAAGTTGGCATCCATTACTACTACATCTTGTGGGTGGTGACTTCCATGGTTAAACTCAGTGCAATGTGAAGACGTACTTTGTTTTGTTTGTTCTGAATCTTCCAATAGTCAGCTTAACTGGATGAGCCTGGTTCTGCTATTATGAGAAAGGGAGGAAAGCTCTAATTTCTTTTCGCCACTCAGTGCATAATTTTATGTCTCACTAGTACTCCTTACTTAAGTCTTTTATAAATGAAAAAGTCCCAAATGTTGCAAAAATGTCCTCATCAAGGAACTGACCCCATTTAGGTCAGTGCTACTCAAAGGCAACACCATCACAACCCAGGTTGGATGCTGCACTTCAGGGACCAAACATAATACCAGTGTTTGGCATATTGTGTGTGGGGTTTGTTAGTCCACCATCTCAGATAGCTTGAGAAGCACTTATTCAAGTCACCCTGTTCCAGTTGTACAGTATCCTGTTTAAGGTACAGTGGTACCTCAGGTTACATACGCGTCAGGTTACAGACTCCGCTAACCCAGAAATATTACTTCGGGTTAAGAACTTTGCTTCAGGATGAGAATAGAAATTGTGCTCCGGCGGCACGGTAGCAGCGGGAGGCCCCCATTAGCTAAAGTAGTGCTTCAGGTTAAGAACAGTTTCAGGTTAAGAATGGACCTGCAGAACGAATTAAGTTCTTAACCCGAGGTACCACTGTATAGAGACCAGTTCCTGTGATAAACAGAGTATAAGTTATATGTTGCAGTCAGCTTCTTGCCCTATCATAGAGTTTGAAGGGACAATGAATGTCATCCAAACCAACCCCTGCAATGCAGGGATTTTTTACCCAATGTTAGGCTTGAACCCACAACCCTGAGATTAAGAGTCTCATGCTCAACCAACTGAGCTACCCCAATTTCATAGTCTACCTGTTGTTGTTTCAAGGTGAATAGACTGCCCCTCTGGAATCATCTCCATCCCTGGCAAGGAAGTTTTCTTAGGAACCAAAGAAAGCATTCTTCTCAGTCCCATTCATACTCCTTGGGTAAGGCGGCTGCATGATAAGAGGAAAGGAAAGGGAGATTAGTGGGCTTCTCTGCACGTCAGCCTTTGTGTAATAGTCCCAATAAACATTTTTAGAGCAGGTAGTTTAGAGAGTTAGGTGCCACCCATCTTTTGAACCATTAGAAATTGCATCCTATTTTTATACATTTTCGTAGAATCTTAGTGAAGCAAAGCTATAAGTAGGGTTTCTTGAAAATTGCTTTTCCTTTCATGTTATCTTATACTACCACAACGGCATCAGAAAATCACTGCATGGTTCTCTTTTCAAAATGCATAATGACTGAAATAACATCTGGGGAGCACAGATAGATTTTGAAGAGAAGGAGATGAAAAAGTGACGATAGGAGGGCATTGCTGCCCAGCACAATGCCTTTCCATTTCAAGAATGCTAATTGAGCCACATGGTCTGGCAGTTTTTGAGAAAAACAGGAAAGCTGTCTTGTATTAGACTTTTGTACTAGATGGAAGAAATGGGGAGCAGGGAGAGAATAAAATAAAAGCACAAACTTAGATTGCTCAGCTTGACCTCCTGAGTGGTTTTCTTCTGCTCATCAATCAACTTAGACAGCCGTTGCTCATGATTTATGAAATATTCACTGCACCAGAGAGAATATTGTAGGATAAATCCTTAAAACATCTGCTTTTTGTTTAGCTTACATTAAAAAATTGAGTCTCAGTTACTTTGTAGCATATATGTAATTAGCTTAGGGAATTCAGTACCATTAACTTTTATAAAGGATTGGACAGATTCCCAGGAATGACTACAACTATCCGTAGCTCTTTGCTGTGATAGCTAGTGGCCATTACCAGGTCTTATGGTAAGGGGTTCCATACATTAATTGTGTTTTTTGATGAATAATTACTCTCTTTTGTCTGTTGTTCTTCTGGGTTGCTTTGAGTCCTAATGTTAGGAGGGAGTTGGTGGTGTAAATATATTCACTTTCTCCCCACCATGCTTCAACCTAAATATTAATATAGCTCAGGTGTCAGTCCTTAAGTCGATAAAGTATTAGCTGGAATTGGACTCCACAGTCACTTATGGACACACTGTTAAGACCATATTCATGGAAGACAATCTTACTCGGCTACGAGTGATCGTTAAAGAAGAGCAGGTGGGGGGAGGAACCCAAAGATTTGTAGTATTTTTTAAAAGGAAAAAAAACCCTCTAAATGAACCCAGGCTGCTGCCCGTGTAGACAGTCTTGATTTAGATGAATCAAAGGGCCTTACTCAGTATGGCAGTCGTCTATGTTCCTTATGTGTTCTGTGCATGCTCCATGATCATGGGATGCTGGCTGACCAATGGAGCAGAAATGGGGTGGCAGGAAAGCTTAAAAAACGAGCACTCCACACTACAATATCTTAGTTGTGATTTCATAAGTATCAGGCCCCCTCATCCTAGTTACCTCCCCATCCCAATTTAGAAAGTCCCAAACATTTCGCCTCTCTTTATAAAGAAGAGGTGTTCCAGTCCCACTAATCAGTTTGGCCTGCTTTTTTCTGTCATTTCTCCAACTATCCTTTTTTAAAAAAAACTAAAAAAAACAACAACAGGGCAGCTGGACCTGTGCGGCCCCCCCCCCCAATGAATTAACTGGACAGTTTCCACTCACACTTTTCAAGCAGCCCTGCTCAAATCACATTTGATTACCGATTCATATTCGTAAATCAAGGAAAGGAGTTTTCCCATCTGGATCCTGAAGAGTCCCGCGTTTCCATTACAGCACTTTGCCTTACTGATAACTTTCGCTATTAAAGCGTTAGATTTCCTGTTGTTTTTTGTGTGTGTGTGTGTGTGTGTGTGTGTGCGTGCGCGCGCGCACGTTTCCTTTGGCTTAATTGCCAAACTGAGAGGTTCCACGCATTTCCAAGCGCCCCCAGCCCCAGCGACTCTCTTTAAAAAAAATTATTTTACTGGCGGTCTGTTGGGATGTGCGGGTGGGAGTGGAGCAGCAACCTGTGCTTCGAGCCCAGGGTGGCGGCGCGGTTGGGAGTGGGGGTTTCGGTTTAGCCCACAGCGCCCAAGCGGCCCCCTGCCTTTCGCCTTCCGAGGGAGGGCGCGTCTGTCTCCGGCGATGTTTCTTTGGCGTAGACGCCGCTCGTTTCCTCCTGAGCGCTTTTCAGGAAGGCGCGCCGCGAGACGGCGGAAGGCTGGAGGGCGTCAGTCGAGCTCGGGGAGCCTCTGGTGGGCGTGCCTTGTCCAAGCGCACCGCTTCAGCTGCCCGCCCCCTCTCGCACACACGCCCAGGAGGCGGCGAAAGCCAGGCAGCCTAGTGCTGTGCCTGGCCAGGCAGAGGGACTCCGGCAATCTCGCTGCTCGCCCACGGAGGTTTGGGACTCTGGCTGGGTGTCGAAGGGAAGAACGTGGCCACCATGCCTGGCAGCGACACCGCCCTGGCGGTGGACAGGACCTACTCGGACCCGGAGAGGCACCGGCGCTTCAAGACCCGGGTAATCTTTCTGCCCCCTCGATTCCCTTCTACTGCAGGGCTCCGTCGCCCGGCGTTGCTTTTCTCATCGGCACTTGCTCGAACTGAGCCAGCGCTGCAAAACCTCGTTGCTGTTTAGTTTGATTCAGGATATCCGCCGGCGTCCCTGTCGCCCCTGCAGTCTTTGGGATGGTTCAGGGCTTAAGCTCGCTCCAGGTTTCCCTCTGGGGACGCGCCTTTCGTCGCCTCTGGGTGTTGTCGGAGACAGGTGTCATGTCCCCAAAGCAGGCTCCAGTTCAGCAGCGTGCCTTTGCGATGTGTCAAATGTCAGGTTTCAACTTGCCTTGCTGCCCAGAGGAGCAGTCGCTGGTGACTGGGCATCCGGCCCCCGCTTGCATTTGCGCCTCTGTTGTTTAGTAACAGTTATCCGGACTTGGGACATTGTGGGCGCCTGGGTTGGGAGAGCTGCTAAAAATTAATAGGACGAGAGTCTCTGAAGGGCTTTCCCCCTTTCTCTGAAGACATTTCATGCCAGTGTAGGCATTTTGCACAGGCAAAGACGCTCTGATTATTACAAGCTAGGATTAACCACTCCCTAACTATTTGAATGTAGGCTAGCAGACGTTTGAAACCAAGTGTTTGGCACCCTGAACTCAGACAGTATGTGGCTGTTTGCTGTGTTGAAACAGGTGGGCAGTGCCCTTGGAACTCAGGGCAGTCAGAACAGTCAGGAACCAGGAGCTTGATATGCTGAACCAAATATGAAATGTTCTGGAAGGCCTACAAATCCCATCTTCGTAGACAGGATAACCCCCAAACTAATTGGTAGTTGTGGCAAGAATGAGCTTATACATATGTTTATACAGTATTCACTTGCTTTGATATATGCTAATTGTCTTCCTTTGATGCTATGCTTATCTGTGGACCTTGGGATGATGGGCTTTAGGCCCAGAGAGGGGAGAAGCTTTGGACAGCTGTCACCTATCCCAGGTGTGATGGGAGATTCTGGGCAAACTGACATATGCTGCTTTTTGCATAAAGGATGTAAACATTTGCTTGAGTGCAGACAAGTCATGACAACCTCTCATTGTTGCAGTGTCTGTCCCATGTGTGTAAAGGGAGCGATGTTCTGCATGCTGTGTTGTAAAGTTTGCACTCTTAACTACTAAAGCACTAGAGTTGGCCATTCTGGCACTTTTGCAGCCTTTTTTTGTATCCCTGCATCAAACTACTCACCTAGGCCCTCCTTTGGGCCTGTGGTTCTGAGCACTCAAAATTCACTCTTTTGACCTTATGGCTAGGTACACAGTAGTGGTTTAAAATGCATTGAGGTTGCGGTGTTTGCCTGTTGCATTTCCATGGTTCTGTACACACCAGAGAGGGAGGGGGCTGGAATGTCTTCACCTGATGCACATTACCTTTTTTTGTTTTCTCACTCCTGCAACCCACCCAGCAACCCATTCATGGGGCTGTCATCTGTGCATATGCTGTCGTCTGCGCATGTGCAATGGCTGCCTCAAATTTACACACCTCCGTATAACTGCAGAGTGAATGTGGCTTATGCTTTCAAACTGAATGGAAGCTGGTTTAAGCGGTTGGGTGGGGGAAACATCAAATAGCAGTATTTCTCAAGGAACTCTAGATAGGGATTATAGCTAATGTCATGTGTGCGCAGCTTCAAACACCAGTGGTGGGAGCGCACAGGAGCCAGAGTAAATGGTAATGTGTGCACAGCTTAAAGCTGCCAGGACCTGCTCAGATGCGATCAGGGCAGTGGCACTGAGGATGGGGGTTATACCCATGAGAGTTTTTTGTGATATAAATTGTTGTTGTGGAGTTATTAGTCCCACCGGGGTGAAATCTGGGCTAATAGTATCTTAGATAATAACAGATCAGGGAAATGGCACAGGGGAAAGGGTTAACTCTCCCATTTTGGCCAGTGTTGATGATCTAATAAAAATCAGAGCACGCTAGGGCTGGTTTCAAAGTAAAGTTGGGAGATCCCTCTGACATCACAGGCAGTCTCTGCCGGTGCCAAAGATTCTACTGCAGCCAGCTTCTGCTCAGCAATAATTGTGCTGTTTGGGGTGTGGGGCAGGAACCAGCAACTTTGAATAGCAGTATGATCCATTCTGTACAATTATTATTTCATAACTGGAGTGTCACATTGAAATTATTATAAGATCTGGTTTTTGGTTTTGGTTTTAGAAGAAAGATATTCACAATACCTTCATTTTAAACCAAGTCTATGTTGCTTTCTGTTTAAGTGGTAAAATGTCTTGACATTTGTACAAGGCCAAAATTGCGAAGATGGAGCTTGAATAAAGTTAAGTAAATGAGAAGACCACATGCAAAAATCTAAAGAGTGAAAAGCAAGTCAGGTGTTTATTATTGGAGTGTCTAAAGCAGGGTTGGTGTATGGCATAGGTCTGCCCTCTCCCCAGGCACTTTAAGATTGCCCCATGCCTCTTATCCTGAATTCGGTCTAGGCAGAGGTGTTAAGTCATTCCTCCCAAGTTCTCAATACACAGTGTGTGGGAAGGTTTCTGTGCCACTTTCACAGCTCCACCTCCTTGTCATTGCCACCTTGCCTGCTTCATCCTCTAGCCCCTGGTGATTTTCCTCTCTTTGTAACATTTGTGTTCCATTGGTTGGGTCCGGGGTCCAGGGCCCTTTAAACAGGACTGTTGTCAACATCTTTACCCCACTGACTGCACCCACCTGCAACTGATGCCAGGAGCTGCCAGATATGACCACTGAAACAAAGTTTGCTGTTGGTTTGGCCCTATATAGCTATTCATTGGCATCTGTTTGTCTTAGAAGACAATGGGAAAGTGTACCTTCGGGGGTGAAATAAAACCATTGGAGAGTTACAACGCCTGCTGTGGCTGTACATATCGATGCAGGAGAGCGCCTGGTTGGCTTGTTGAATGATACTCTAACCTCAAAGCTCCCATTGAAGCAGGCTGACAGTGCTGGGTCAGTACTTTATGGACCGGGAGCTGCCCAGCTTAAGGCGGGTGTTAGCTGACTAGTGAGACATGATGATTACTCCTACCGATTAAGGGAACCCATAGCACTTCTATCTTACAACAATCAGGCTGAGCTTTTAAATCATAACTGCTGCCTCCCGTGTTGTTTTTGCTGTGTTAACAGCACCAAAGTGAACTCTCCGGGGCACAAGCCAGGGCAGTGCGTGTGGAGGTCCTGAGCTGCCCAGACGAAACAGCTCCCCTCTCAGCCTTGCTGATGTGGTCCAAAGGAAAGGAAAGCAATATATTTGGCACCAGCTTGGCTGCAGGAGCTGCCAGAAGGGTGCGTACAAGACTCCACCCGCCATCAGGACTCTGCTCTGGATTTGTGTAGGGTTTGCTCCATTGGTTCTGAAAGGGTGTCGACTGCCACACTGGTATGACAGGAGAGAGGATGCCAAGTGTGGTGGGGAGATTTTACAGTTCTTCACATATTGTTGTGAAGAGGGGTTTTCAACTCTGACAAATATAAAAGGTCAGAAAAGAGAAAGGCTTCTTTATGTTGATGAGGAGATTAGAGTTTGCTTGTCTCAAATATAAATGAGATTACCCGGCAAAAGCAAGCTCAGACCTCTCATTGAGTTTGTGTACATGCTTAAGATACATATGTAAGAGACTCGTTTGTAATTATATTTTGGGAATGATTCATACTCTTTCATAGCTGCATTTTTTAATACTTTCTGGATGTCCCGTGATCATAGGCTAAAGTAGTTGTGTTCTGTGTAGTAAATCAAACACTGCCAGGAGTTCTTTCTCTTTGTTTTCCAATGTATTTCTTAGCAATTGAAAAATTGGCATGGTGTGAGCAAATTTATATTCTGAAAGTGTGGCCCAGAGAAATAAGCTTGAGAACCCCTTGTTTACTATTTAACCATATCTTCTTTCCGTGACATCCCATGAGGCAATGAGTATGGATTGTTCCTCGGGGTTTATTCCCAAAGCCTTTCTCATGAAAGAGCATTGTGGAGGTTTAGGACCAGTGTTTTCCTTCTCTTAGATGGACTACCTTCCCAGGTCAACAAGCTCCATCTCCCCCTCATTTCCCTCAACAGCACACACAGAAACCATCTTCTTGGCCATTGAACCCACTGTTGGCCTTGTCTGCTCAATATGCCAGAGCCTGTCTTCGCACGCAGGAGACTCATCTGACTTACCAAGGGTTTAAGACCTGTTGGCTACCCTCCAAAAAGCCCCGAATAAAATTTAAAATACTAACAGATGCAAAGGAAAGAGGGGGATTTGCCCTGCCGGACTTAAGATTGTATTATGAAGCTGCATCCTTCTGCTGGATGAAGGATTGGTTTTTATTAGAAAACACTGATGTCCTAGATCTGGAAGGGTTTAACAATGCTTTTGGGTGGCATGCATACTTGTGGTACGACAAGATAAAGTTTCACAAGTTGTTCAAAAACCATATTGTCAGGAAAGCTTTATTCATTGTCTGGACTAAATATAAAGACTTATTTGAAAGTAAGACCCCGAGGTGGTTATCACCAATGGAGGCTAAGGCCATAAAACTACTTAACATGGAGGGTGGCTGGGCAAAATACTCTGAGATAATAGAAAGAGTTGGTGACACGTGGAGGTTGCAGAGTTTTGAAAAGTTGAAGGGAAAGGTGCGAGACTGGTTTCATTACGCCCAAATTTTAGAGATCTTTAAAAAGGATAAAAAAGTTGGTTTCCAGGTGGAAAAATCAAAACTAGAGACAGAACTACTTGAACCTAAGACGAAAGTGCTTTCAAGAATGTATAACTTGTTGCTTAAATGGAACACTCAAGATGAGACAGTTAAATCAGCT